GTGGCTTTAACTCCCTTTTCTCCCCTGTTAACCCTGGAGAAATACTTGAGATAGAACGTGGGATTCATGCTTCCATAAGTGCAATTCAGTGATGCAAAGTGTGAGCTTTTGATTGGGATTTTAGGGGGAAAAATCATTCATTATCCCCCAAATCTGTCTAAATCATCACAGTTTCTCTTCCACTCTCTTCCTTCATCTTTAAACCAACGCTGGGAGGTACTAGGGATAGGAATTTTATCTGTCTCACTAATGGGGAATCTGAGTTTCAAAGAAGGGACATGATTTCCTCAAGGTAATTCACCTTGTAAATGGTCAAGCTGGTGAAAACCCAAATTACCAGTGTTATGCCTTTTCCATCATCTAGTGAATCAGTTTAGTCAGTCATTTTATGGGAACATTAACTGACTTCCCAGTGCTTTGGGATGGAAAGCTGAGTTCTTGTCCCGAAGGAGCTCTCACAGTCTCAGTGGGGGAATAGATGAGTAAATCAGTGATAATAATAAAGTCTCCAATCATCAAGTAAATCATTCCAAGAAACTTGGGGTTTTTTGTTGTATACCTCCTATATCTACTGTGGGTCTGTGCCATTCTAAGAACCATGATGTGCAGGAATGATATTCACAATAATTAGCAAGTGACATGGCATTAAGAACCAACCATGAACAGATCTGTTAATAAGCAGAGGAAAGACATCGTACGTACCCTCAAAGTGTTCATGGTCTAATGGGGTAAAGTGTATAATGTGCTAAAAATGAAAAATGAAAGTCTGAATGAGAATAGAAAGGGGCCCTTCTCTCTTAATGGAAGGTCATGGAAATGTTCTTGGAAGTACTACAGAGTAAATCTTGAGAAATAATAGAGGAATTTGCCATGTGGACAAAGTGGGAGGAAGATTGTTCTAGGGACAGGGAATTGAATGTGCAAAGTCTCAGAGCCCTCTAAATTATTTCTTTGAGTATTTTACTAAAAATTTTTAAGTTGCTAAGATCCTTAGGGTGGCTCGTTTGCTAACCAGGACACTGAGAGCTAAGGCAAGGAAGGGATTTGCCCAAAGTCACACAGTAAGTTGATGTGCATCAGGACTCGAAACCCACTCTAGGGGCGCCTGGGTGGCTCAGTTGGTTAAGCGACTGCCTTCGGCTCAGGTCATGATCCTGGAGTCCCTGGATCGAGTCCCGCATCGGGCTCCCTGCTCGGCGGGGAGTCTGCTTTGCCCTCTGACCCTATCCCCTTTCATGTGTTCTCTCTCATTCTCTCTCTCTCAAAATAAATAAATAAAATTAAAAAAAAAAAAAAAAAAACGAAACCCACTCTAAGCCAAAGCTCCATCCCTTCTGCAATGCTGACCAGACAATCTACCTACTGATTGATTATGCCCTATCCCGTCAAGCAGGAAAGCTCTGCTCTAGCTTGAGACTCATTCAATGATGTCTTTGAGCTTTTTTGTCCTTTGTTGTCTTAGGAAAAATGAGAAGAGATGGCAAAGATCACTGAACAAAGACTTGCAGACAGCAAGTTGGGGAACCTTGACTCTAAACAAATGCATCTAATTGAATGACTAGCCCATTGTGTTGGGTCAGAGCTCCTTCGTTGCTTTGGGAGAGATTTCTGGCAATTGTAGAGTCACATGGGATTTCTGGGCAGGAGTTAGCACACTAGATGAATTCCAAGAAGAGGAGAAGGTTGGAAACAGTGATGGAGTGGCTAAGCAGGTGGGAAGCAAAGGGTCCTGTGGGAAGGGGGTGCCAGACTTCTCAAGGAAATAGATGCCTGACTGCTTCAGATAATGCTAGTCCTGGCCGACATTGCACTCACTGGCTGATCTATCTGGGAAAAAAAAAATTACGTTTCACAGACCTTCAAAGAAATGAGAATGATCTCAACTGAGGCAAACCCTTATGCTTCCTCTGGCCTCCAAACCACAGCCTCCACTAGCAGCCGGTGAGGGAGGATTACAAACAAGCAACAACAGCATCAGTCTTTGGCGGAGGACTCCATGCAGAGGTGTTTACAAGCTCTCACTCCACTCTCTCACAGGGAAGAAAGCGCTTACAGTACTGAGAAGGACAAGACCGGACAAGACCGTAAGAGCTGGATGCCAAGAGGTGTGGCTCTGCCCAACAGGAGGATGAATGGGTATTAATTCTAGAAACACCCTCTGCTGTGATGTCTAGGGTGGAAAGCAAGTCATTTGGGCAAGTCATTTCTGGAATCCCCTTTCCTCATCTGTGCAATGGGTATGTTGGACACGATCATCTAGTTTCCCTCTCATGTTCTAGGAATGAAAAAGGATGATTTTAAAATGATAAAACACAGCATGTCAGACATTCACTTGTTCCTCCATTACTGTATTCATTCAATAAACTGTATTTCCTGAGTGTCTGCAATACCCAAGGCTCTGTACTAACCACAGAAAAAGCAGGCGTGATCCATGTCTTCTGGAAGCCTAGAGTGTAAGGGGGAAAAAACTAGACCTCCATCTACCATGTACAGATAATGAATGTCCTAATGGAATTCCCACATGCTACGGTGCTTGGAAGCACTTCTTGTGGACAAAATTTAGAAAGCTCTATGGTGAAGTTGGATCAGAACTGGATGATAAGCCGATGTGAGGAGGCGGAGGTGAGGATTCTAGGTAGAGTACAGAATTAGCCAAGGTTCAGCTATGGGAGAGCATATGCAGACCCATGTGCCTGGAACGGAGGCAGCAAAAGGCCCAGGGATGGAAAATGGAAAGGAGTCCTTGTCTGCCCCCCTCACTTACTCAAAAGCCAGGGTGTGGCTCAAGATACCACATGGGTTTTGGAGAAACTTCCTAAAATTCCTATCTCTTCTAAAGATACATAAATAAAGCTAGCCATCTCTTTTCTATGTTGTCAGAATATGCTTCCATGATAGTAACTTAATGCGTAGTCGTATTCTTATGTGTTTGCTCCACTGGCCTATTCCTGCCTTGAGGACCAGTCTGGTGATATTTGGCTTTGTTTTCCCTCTGATTGTCTAAGCCACCTGTAGTTGATCCCTAGTCAATGGCTGTGGAATAGTGGTGGTGGGGGGGGATCGGTTTTGGACGTTCCCAGAAGTCATATTTATTACCCAGTTTTCTAGCATGCTTATCGCAGTTAAATACGCACACAATCGCAAATATATATTGATTACGTGCTGTATGTAAATATAGCCTATATGCCATGTGAAATGTATTATATACTGTTCTAATGTTTTATTCCCTAACCCCGGGAGATAAACTTGGTCGAATCTGGGAAACCAAGAGGCAAGGAAGCATTCACTACGAGTTGAAAGACACAGCCTCGTGCTACTGCAACATACTTTGGCTAAAACGCAGAATTAAAAACTTACGAAACAACCAACATTTGAATCAGCCGAAATGTTCAAAAGTTCAAATGAGCTGTTTTATGACATGACTATTTATGGGCTTTCTTGCTGTCCGGGAGGGTCACTTAAGCAGAGAAACCAGAATGCCAGAGCCATAGCAACCATGGGGATGACCGAACCTCGTGCCGCTTTTTCCAGATGGTTAAACTGAGGCCCACAGCAATAATAACAAGTATGGGAATTATATCCTTCATTATTAAAAACAGGCAGATGATTGAAGTCACCATTATTAGTAATGAACCAAAAAAAAAAAAAAACCCACAAGGATCTCCCCTTTAGCTCTTATGGAACAAAGAAATATATTTTCCATATTTAAATATGGCAGTGATTTTTGTACAAGCAGTGTTATAATTCAGTAGGGCATAAAACATTTCAATATCATCTGACAATGTTCCTGGACAGTGGTGCACAGTAGAAAGAACTATGGAGTCCGGTGTTGTCATCTAAACCCTTCCCAGGTGTATTCCCTAAGTGGACTTACATTACTTCTCTGAACCTCCATTTCTTCGCCTGTCAACAGGGCTCAACACCTGCTTGGTGTGAGTAAGCCTGTAATGAAATAATATCCATCAAGTACCTCGTGGAGCAGCTACTATAGACTTAAGAAGAGTGGGTCCAATGATAGCCACAGGTTACATGATTTGTCCTTTCCCTCCACTATCCCCAAACTGCTGTGTGTTGTGACAAACTGAAACGTGGGTGCCGTCCGTGCCCTCGCTGCTTCCCCACTGCCTCAGATGCCTGTGTGTGCCCTGCGGATCCTCAGTGCATGCTAACCACCAAACGAATGGATGACTCAGAGCTTGGAAAGAATCCACAGCAGGCTGGAGAGCAAAGGCACAGCTCATGTCTCAAAGATTAAGTTGTTACCTTTTTTTTTTTTTTTTTTTGCTTTGTGCTGGACACCTTTCCGCACTGAGCACGGAGAAGAAAACTTGAGAGAGCTTTCCCCAGGAGGTGCTGCTTAGAAGATAAGCCCACTCACAGGGCATGGGCATTGTCCAAAAAGCTGCCCCTGGTAGGGCACTGGGGCAGGGACGGTGAAGCCTCTGGGCAGCTGGGCATGGCTCCCTCCCCGAGAAGACCAAGCCCGGCAGATCTGCGCTCCCCGCACGCCCCACCTGCTGAGAACTAATCCTGGGTTATCTCTCCGCCTGCCCAGCGAAACCCAAACCCCCAGGCTTCTGAAGGGCTTTATCTCCTCTTTCCAGGAACTGGGCTCGGCCCCTTTCCTCTCGGAGGTGACGCTGGGCAGCTGCTGCCCAGAGCCCAGGCGAGCCGTGGCTCGCGTTTCCAGCCCGCCTGAGTAGGAGAGCCAAGGGCTGCCGATCCTGCTCCCCCTCGCTCCCTGGGCTTCTGTCTCACAGTTAGAAAATCCGTTCGGGGAGCAAAGCAAAAATCACACCTAGCTAACAGCTGCTCTGGGTCTGGGTCGGGGGTGGAGAAAGGGAGGCGGCAGAAGGCAGGGGGAGGTGGAATTCCTACTTTCGCCGTAAATTGTATGCAAATGGGTTCCTTTCCTGGCAGGCAGCAGGGAGTGAGTGCGTCTTTCATGAGCTAACCCTGTTCCGCTGGGAGGGCTGTTCCTTTAATTCACCAACTGAAAAAGTAGGAAAGGATGTCTGGAGGCGAGGCGTCCCATTACAGAGGAAGGAGTTGCTATATAAGCCAGCCAAAGCTGGCTTCGCTGGCCACAGCCTGCCTACTGTCACACGCTCTCCCGCGAGCCGAGCGCAGACACACACCGGCCGGCCTCTCTTCCGCACAAAGACTGTGCGGCTGGGGGTGACCCTAGGGGCAGCGCACGTGGGAGCCCCGCTGCTCACAGCCAGGTACTGACTCCATGCAGCCGGTTCATTCAAGGATCTAGGTCCTTCCCAACTCCGGAAAGGTAAGTGGGTTTCACCCCCATCACCAAAGATCATTATGGCACACTGTTTGCATTCCTGGTACCAAAGGAGTTGTGGGTTCATAATTGTTAAACTTTCGCTGTGTCTTCGCTGCTGGCAAAATGGGGTATTTGTGACGATCAGATGCACGTTGACTGTCTTCTACTTACCCCTTCCAGTCTTGTAGATCTGGGGGGTTTGTTTGAGTTCTGCGAACAGTCGCACGTGGAAGGAACTTTCTGTAAAGTTTTTATCTCTGCGTTCTCCAGAGGAAAAGTAAGAATCTTCTCTTAACTCCCTGCCTGGCTGATTCACCTGTGAATATTTTTGTTTTAGGGGGAGAGAGGTAGAATTTGAAGGTGGAGATCGTTCATGGCCTTTCTCTGGGATAGGTTAAGGGAAGGTTGATAGAGGATGATGGAGAGAACGATAAAACTGTCTATCTAAACAGCGCTCACCTTGCAGTTTACAAAAGTTTTGTATCCATCCCTCATCCCACCACATCCTCCCTGTGGTAAGACACAGAAAGGATGAGGGCTGGAGGACAGAAGGGAGGAAGGGACTCCTAGGGCCAGACTACAAGGTGGGAGGGGTGGACACCAGCTTCCATTCTGAAGGGCAGGGGGACTCCCCGTGGGTATCTCGCGATTCAATGATCCTTGGGCTGGGTACCTGTGCATGTCTGGGGGTGCTTGGGGCCAGCAGTACCGCGAGTCTTTCTAGAATCGCCTCCCCCCTCCTCGCCTCTCATCACAGAAAGCCCTGAGAAACCCCTTGCCCCAGGGTTGGGAAGCTCTACCTGGCAGACTCTGAGAAGGGCACAGGGGCTCCTCTCTTTCTTCATCGTCGTAAGGGGATTCAGAGCTCGGGTTTTGAAGGCAAGGGTCAGTCATTTTGGTGTCCCCACCACCACCATCAAAGATGAGAATCTGCAACCTCTATGAGCCTCAGTGTCCACTTATCTAAAATGGGGACAATAACTTCTGTTGTCATTATGAGGAGGAAATGGGGCATAACGCATTTGGGAGAGTGAGTGCTCAGTAACCGGAAGTTGGGATAATCATTGTCATTTGTCAAACACTGCCATCACCTTGGAAGTTAAAAGAGGCGATCTTGGATTGTTTCTCATGTGTTCCTCATCCTCTACCCCAAATCCCCTTCTTTCTATCTCACTGGTCTGAGGGTGTCTCAGTGGGCTGACAGGTCGGAGACTTGGCCGTATTTTATAAGCAGGAGGTTGTTTTGACACAAGTTAAGGGGAAGGGAGCAGCCCAGGGCTGGATGTAAATGTCGAGTTCTGACTCGAGAATGCACAAGGTTTTGAGTTTGGGCGTTTGCAGATTCTAAAGCTGTCAGCTATGAAGTACGGTGCTGCCGGGGACTCCTTGGAAATGCTTTCCGTCCAGAGTGAGAGCGGGACAGGGAGCCCCACTTGAAGAATGAATGCCTCTTTTTCATGTTTTGTGGACCTTTTCCCCTTTTTTATGCAGCTTTCCCATATGTGCTTTAGAAATAAAACCTGCTACCCACCCCAGCCAGCTTTCTGCCTTGTCCTTCAATATGGTAAGCCCAACTGAGGACTGGGGAGAGGAACTTTAGGTTCAGCGCTAAAGAAATCTCTGGAAAGTTTGCTGGCATCGTGTGCATCTGAGCCCACTGCCGTAGATGTGATTGTGCTTTGACCATACGTGTTTCAGGTAGGTGATGGCGTTTTGGGGAAGAAACGTGCAATATGAATAATCTCTGGTTTGCTCAGAACAGTGTGCATCAGATAAGGATTAAAAGGGGTATTACCAACTCTACAGTCTTTAAAGATTTTTTTTTTTTTTTGTCTGTGCTTTGTTTGAAAAACCTAGCTTCCCTATCTCTTCTTCTAGCTGCTTGTCTCCTCCCCGCCAAGGAAGTTACTGATCTTCCAGCCCTCGGTATTGTTGTCCATATAAAGAGAATGACAATCTCTATCTCTCAGGACTCTTGTGACATCCAAATGAGATAATATATGGCAGACTCAGTACCTGACACATAGTAGGGGCTCAGTAAATGGAGATTTTTCTTAGTTTTCTTGCTTCTCAATTTATAAGGACTTATCTGAAATTCATGTTCTCAGACAGTGGTTTTCAAACTTATATTTAGCCATGGAAATATTCATTAAATGAAATTGATGGCAGGACTCCAGTATGACCAGTAGATGTGGGGCTACTTTGGTTGAAGCGGGAGGGGAGGGTCTGAAACTCACCCCATGGTTCTCAGCCCTTGGGACATTTCCACAGAACCTTGAATGACACAAATGCAGTTAAAAATCATGAAGCAAGGCAGTGTACATTCAGGCCGCAATCTTGCACTTCAGTGGGGATGTTTGCCCCTCCAGGGCCCACCTGGAACAGGAATCAATACTATTCCCCGAGTAGGACAGTAGACACGAATGTGGGAAGTATAAAATGCTTAACAAAGGACGCTTATTTTAATTAATTTTAATGATACCAATAGCCAAAATATATGGAGAGTCTACTCTTGTGTATGTCAACTCACTAAACATCCACAGCCCATCTCTGAGAAACGGGCCATGCCTATTGGGCAAAGACATAGGTTGAAGAGTAGAGAAGACGAATAACGTTTCTGGAGTCCTAGAACGCAGGGTGATGGAGCCAGTTTTGAGACCCAGGTCCCGATGACCCCCAAATCAGAAGCACATTTCACCGTGTTCCTTCTGAATGCTTCTGCTTCTTGCGCTCGCTGCCTGTAGAAGGAAAAAAACTTCCTTTCTGACTAAATCTATCCCTCCAGCCAGACTGTGGCCACCCATAAATACAGCAGTAGCCTGATCATATAACCAGAATGGAATTTGGAAAGGGAATTCAAGCTGACAGAATGAAAAACATATCCCCCTTAATCCTACCCTTTCTGAGGCTCACAATGAACTAAGAATACCTATTCCCTCCTTCCCCTGGGTTTCTATAGACACACAGCCATGTTTTGTTACAGGGAACACTATCTAGCTGGTGTAAAGCACAAGGCCCTCCACACTGAAGTCACTTTAGTTTGAAAAGTAGAAAGTAGGCACCAGACATTTAGCTCACCCCAAATACACAATTCCTTGTGGTGAGGATAAAACACATACACACGGTAATTAACATTGAGGGCTAACTGTGTATCACATGCATGATAGGAGGGTTTGTCTGTCGTTCCTCATCTAATTCTCACTCTAACACTGCAAATTATAAATCACTCACTCCATTTTATGGACAGAGAGCAAAAGCCCCAAGAAGGTAAGTGGCTCACATGAGGGCTTTCCGTAAGTGAGGAGCAGGGTTGGCTTTGAACCCAAACTCTCTGACTAAAACTCTACTGTTCTTTCCACTGTGTTGCATTGCTTCCCGAAGTCAGGCAGGGCTGACCCCATGTAGAACCTTGAATGATCTCTTTCAGTGATTGGCCAGACTGTAGAGATGCCCCCGACTGGCCTTGGTATCTGTTGACCTTACAGAATAGCCCTGCATATATCATTTTCCCTGGTGCTCAGAAAAGGTCAGCTTATAGTGGTGCAGTTCTCTGCCTGGAAACAGAAAAGTTCGAATTTCAGCCCCGAGAGAGAGAGAGAGAGAGAAAGAACGACACTAAAGGAGGCGGTCAGGTCATTACTGTTGGTTTTCATCCCAGGAAAGGAGGCACAGACTTTGCTGTGCTCTGCAAGCTGGAACTCTGCTTGGAGAAGCAGCACCGTCCCTGCACCCGCACCCTCTCCGAGAGCCAGGTGAACCGAGCACCTGGTGTAAAAGGGCTGATGGGGGGACAGAGCGAGATCAGTGTGCCCGGCCCTGGGGCAGTGAACCTCAGGACGATCAGGAAATAAAGGGTTGTAGGCTCCAAGCCCCAAATTCCCCTGAAGTCTTAGAGATGAGGGTGATGGTTCAATCACTTCTCGCTTTGAGAAGATCACAGGGGATTCCCGTGCATCTAAACCCGGCCAATTTGAAGATCTTCAACATGTGGGAAACATGAAACAAAGGCTCCCTTCCAAGGGGGAAAACCCCATCAAAATCCTGCCATCTCCAGGCCGTAATCCCATCCAAACAAAAGGCAGCAGTGGCCTTACCTACCGTAAAGGGGCTGCACATTCCGTGTGGCTTCTTGGTAGAGGGGAAGAGTCTGTGTGCCTACCTGATTCTAACCCTGGTGACCAGACTTTTCTTTCAGTAATGCCCTTAAGCCTAGAATTGTTTTTCTGTTTCCTTCTGCCTTGTCTCATATTTCTGGCCTCTATTTAGCAGCAACCTCATTCGGCACTATCATTGCATCCTCTGACCCTCCATCAAGGAATAAAAGCAAAATGCCCACACTGAAAGCACCCTATGTGAGGAAAAGCCCTTTCACGTGCATTTCTAGTCTATTTGTGAATGGAAATGAAAAAAAAAATCATGCCAAATTGTCTCAGATTTTTTGAAATTTCCTGAAATTCACAGGTTCTTAATTATGTAGCCATGGTAACTTGAATAGTTTTGGTTGGTCCTTTAACATCCACCCCCACCCCCCAAACACCCTATGTCAGGAGCCAGAGAGATTTTGTAAGCTCTGAAAGTCGATAGCTTTGCTTCAGAACTAACCAGTGGTTAACTCTTGCCCTGGAGGAGATCAGTTGGCTGCTATGAACTTCTACATGAACAGGTCCAAAAAGGTCTTCTAGCTGGGGTTTTGGGGTGACTGTAATAGCTAACATTTCCCAACAACTCTCCAGGCATTTTGCCTTTGAATCATCAACCATTCAGCCAGTGTAACTGCCCCCCCGCCATTCAAACATGGGGAACCTGATGCTAAAAACATTTAAGTAGCTTCCCCCAACCACACAGAGAGTAAATGTCGGAGCCAGAACTCAAACCCAGCTCCAAGTCCTGAACACGTGGTTATAAACATTAGGATACGCAGGTCACGCTCCGCACCTTAATTCTATTTCATCTTCTGACAACAGAGAGGGCTGGACACCACAAAGCTAAGAAAGAATCAAAAGCTCGTCTTTCAGACCCCCGTGTTCTTCTCTTCGGCATGGCAGCCGCTGGTGGTATCTCTGACTTCCCCCTTCAGAGAGGCCGCAACTGTGTCTTGCTGGTACTCATTTTCCCCAAGGAGTCTAGCCACCTGCTGACAGGTACCAGGCCCTCAGTAAGTTATTGTTGAAACTCTCTGCCGTCCCAAAGGAAATGGATCAACAGCACAGCGCTGCCTTACTTCGGGACTGTGTTCCATGGCTTATGAAGCATTTTCCTCTGCTGGGTCAGTTTTTAACAAAGTAGGATGCACAGAAGTTTATAAATGTATAAAATGACTTTTCCGTGCCTCACTCTCAGATTGTCCCAGCAACTATAGATAACCTTACAGGTGGGTAAACTGAGGCCTAGAAAGGTTGTCATTTGCAAAAGTGAAAGAGGTGGCGCGCCCATCTCCCGCAACTGCGCCTCTTTCCTGTGCCATTTAGCCCTTCAGATCTTCTTCCCATTGTTCAGATAAGGAGGTTAAAGACAGCAGGCTACTTTCCAGAGGAATATTTACATTTTTAAAGGGTAGCTCAGTAGAGAGGGCAATGCTTAACGGATAAGAGAATTGCCAAAGGTGGATTTCAGGCAAGGGGATCCTTGGGAGGAGTAGGAGAACTCAAATTTTATCACCCAGGGATGTGTTCAGGGGTAAAACCATACTTGACAGAAAGAAAGATGGTGGGGACTGAGTATTGAGCGCAAGTCAGTATATTTTTGTTCAGAACTCTAAGCCTACATGTGCAGCATAAGGCACTCCTGGCTCATAGCAGTGCACTGGGGAACTTTCTAGGCATGCGGTCCAGCAGGAACGCATGTGGCCTCCCTGCAGAAGTGACACACGAGAGCCAGAACAAGAGAGCCTAAAGCAGCCCTGGACTCTCTGCCAGGCAGAACCTCTCCCAAACACTGCATCCAGTCTAGGCACCAAGATACAAAATAACAGCAACAACAGCAATACCAATAAAGCATGGGAATGCATCCAGACAGGAAAGCCATAACTTCCCACTTAGGGAAGAAACAGTCTGGGAGAGGCAAGTACACAAGGAGCGGGAGAGAACCCACCTGCTGGGGAGCTCAGGGAAGTAAAAATCAGCTCATGCTGGGCACTTGCACCTTTGCTGCTGCCCCCAAGGGAAGCTGGCTGCTCTCTGGGAAACTTGTGCCCTGGGTCCTGGGATGGTCATACAGAGGTGGCTTGATACAGAGATGTCACAGTAGAGTGTTCTAACTTATAGGTAGTTTGTTAAAAAATTTTTTTCCTGAGAACCTATAGAATGTTGAAATTGAAAGAGCTCTTCAGCAGCTTCTAAGCAAGGGGCTTGGAGACCGGATTGAAAAGACTCCTCCAAGGTGATTTGGGGGCTGCCGTGGAGAGAGGGGGAGGCCACCCAGGGGCTCCATTCAATCTTATTTTAATTTAAGCCCCTTCACTTTTATCTGTTTTGTGCACAGAGCTTCCTCATGAAATGTCATTTGATGAAAGAGTTCTGAGGCAAAAAAAAAAATTAAAGTTTTTGCAAATTGCTGGCCTGGTTTAACTCCTCTTATTTGGAAGATGGTAAAACTGAGACTCAGAGGAGGAAAAAGTCCTTCTAAGATCTCACGCCAGTTGGCAACAGGGTCAGGTCTCAGTCCGAGGTCTTCTGACTCTTGCTCTTGGAAGCCAGGGA